CCCCAAAACCCCAAAACCCCAAAACCCCATTAGTCTATATAATGTTGTGTGATAAGGAATAAATTTTTAATTAAATAAATTTACAAAAATCTTCATTTTTTTATTCAGATAAGTTAAGCCTCTAAGTTTTCTATTTCTTTAGAGTCATATTATTCATGGCACTAATTAGCATAATCATTAATGCTTCTATAATAAGTTTTCTCTATATGTTTCTTGAAAGAAGTGTATGGGCATCTATCAAGAGCGTGATCACAAAATCCTAATTCTGAGAATAGCTCCATCTAGTCTATAAATAATTTAACCGAGAAACATTGTTCATCTTAGCATTAGTTATGTTCTTGTAAATGAGTATCGTGATATAACTCGATGATTACAGTTGAGGTTAGATTCATCTAAAAGTAATTAATTGGCATTCCAAACGCATCTGTAAGCAAAAGTAGATTTATATCATGCTAGAACTGCATGTAATAATTTGGAGTAAAATCTGATCCCTTGCATGTTTTATTCCCCTGACTAAATCCTGAGGACTATCTATATCCCTGATCTTATAGTATGCAATCAATCATAGCTTGCATATCTTTCAAGACATTCTTGAGATTAATGGCTTGATAATATAATCAAGATTTCTTATCTAATGTAGTAAACTGGAAGGTAATAATAATTTACTCTATTAGCTACCACTCCCTATTAGTAAACAATGCCTCATTCGTTTCATTCAGATAAGGAGGCCCTTATAGCTTAATTTATGTATAGTATAAGCAAGTATCATATAAAAATCTGAAGCCCTTCTCCCGAAATTCTGATTTACTCTTGTTTGATACCAAAGCAATTTTATCTATAATCCCAATTTTATCAAAATGAGTAAAGACATCATCAAAGTGACTCTACGTAGATTTTGGAAAACTTATATCAAGATGTCTATTCATATTATTAAAGCATGTAAATAAGTTGAATTCACTTTCTTCTTAAAACAAGCCATCTGCCTTCATATAAACCTATCCATAAAGGTAGTCAACTACATCCTTATACTAAATTTCATCTATTTCTTGAATTTTCACCTTCTTGTAATTAAAAGGTAAAAAGTGTCTTTTTTACTTTATGGATATCTTATGATACTTATTAAGATTGAGAGGGTTTGTGAAATTTGTATTATTACCCAGCTGATCAGTAAATCCATGCCAGTATACCTTAAAAGTTTAGACAGCTCGACTAGTAGCAGTTGAATAAACTTTAGTCTAGGAGTTTATTTTATCAGAGTCGATGAGTTTATGTTAATTTACATATCAATTTTTCATTACAAGTCCTAAAAGGTAAGCAGATCTCTATCAATCAGCTGTAAGGTAATTCATTCCGTTGCTAAATTAACCATTATTATAGTGTGGTGTGAATATACTCTCTCGATTGGCATGTCTAAACATTTGAAATACATATACTAATCTAGATTATTAGCTCTGCACTTGAATCGAGAATAGTATTGTGATTGCTATAGAAAAAAGCGCAAAATTTTTCATTTTTTATATGATTAGTAACAGTGAATAAGTTTAATTATAAAAAAGTTTAATCAAATAATTTTTGAATACTTAAAACTACAATCAAATCAATTCTAATTAATTCAATCAAGTTTTCCAAAAGTTAATGAAGTCTAACTCCATTGGATCATATATATCTGAGCACTGATTTACATAATAGTGTCTTCCTCTGTGATACTTTTTCTTGACAAAATTCTTGAAGTCAGTAAACCAACAGCGATCTGTCCTATAATCGCAAAATCCTAATTCTGAAAATAATTCTAAGTCATCAAAGAATATTTTCACATAAAAGCAGTCTTCCCCTATGCATTTTCCTATATTCTTCTATTCAACATCCATATGTAGTTCAATAATCATTGTAGACATGTAGTTCATATAAATATAATCGGTTTCCAGTTCTAGAGCATTAGCAAACTAGAGCATATTTATATCATGCTGTGACTATATCTAATAATTAGGATTAGATCCATTGACCATGCAACTTTTAAGAGACTATGGGTAATTTTAGAGAATGCAATCCATTTTCAAGTCTAGCTATTTAATAATTAGTTATAGAGTCATTGCCTAGTAGTAGTAACGCATCCTTTTATCTGTTGATGTGTACTAAAATGATGAGATAACTTTGTTAAGGATTTGCCACTCTCTGATATTAAATAAGTTCGAAAAAGTCGGATCTATTAATTTGCTTGATGTATAGAACAAGGAATGATCATTGAGGTATCTAAAGCCAAGTTATTCAAAATCTTTTTTTGTTACTTGTGCTACTTAGATTATCTTATCAATTATTCCTATTTTATCAAAGTATTCTAATGCCTAGATTGAATATTTATCTTAAGAGTTTGTAGAAAATAAATCTAAATGCTTGACTTTATTATACTCACAAGCGAAAAAATTAAACCTACTTTCCTCTAATTAGCCTGCTCCCATTTTTAGCATTAACTATGACTGTAGTTTAACAACAATGTATTCAATTGCATTTTCATTATCGTATGCTTTTGTATTTCTTAAAGGGCTTTAATGTCTATTTTATTTTATTGAATTTCTATGCATTTTATTAAAAGCATGTTTCTAAAACTAATCTGTATGTGTAGAATTTTAAAACCCGTATATAAGTCCCTGCATAAAAGACTAGAATGTTTGGATTGTTCTTGGTTATTGGCTTGAACTAACATCAACTTACTGCTATATATTTTCAAGCTAAACTAAATCATTTTACTCTACATATCATTTATACATGCTTAATCCTAACAAAAAACCTTATCTACTGCCATCAGAAGTTAAAAAATCTCTATCAAAATCCCATTTCTCTCTAAATTTTCCGAAAGCCTCAGTTTATCTGTTTCCATGTCTAAATAACTGAAACACATAAACAATTTTAGATTATGAAATCTCCTATTAGGCATATGTTTAATGAAGCAGCTAAGTTGTAATAATTAGTAATCCAATTTTGAGGTTTTAAGATAAACTTTGGAAGTATTTAGCCATTAAAAATTTATGATTCTATATATCATTAAATATACCTATTTAATATTCTTATAGACTATGATTTTTTTTATTTAAACATAGTCTCTTTATTTAATCATCATGGGGTTTTGGGGTTTTGGGGTTTTGGGG